GGGGGGTTTGGGGTCCCAGCTCACGTGGCCGGGGCGTGTTGAGCTTCCTGTCCCACCAACACCCCAAGTTCTTCTCCTCAGGGTTAGTGCAGGACCTACCCAAACGTTGTGCTGGCCCAGCTGGGTGCTGGCAGCCCGTGGAGGCAGCACTTCAGGGGGTTTGGGAAGATGCTCCTGGTGGGACTGTGGGAACTCACCATCCCTGGAATTTTGGGGGGATTTTGGCCCTGGCAGCACCACAGCAAACCTGGGTGATTTTTGGAGCTGGGATGTGCCAAGTCAGGGTAGCACCCTACTGGTGTTGGGTGGCAGATCCCCACCCAAAAAAAGCCTCAAGGAAGGGGCTGTGAGGGCAGGAGGGGCTGTGAGGGCAGGAGGGGCTGGGACTCTGGGCTGCTGAACAAACGGAGCCGGTACCCATGAGCTGAGACAGGAGGGTGGTTTTCTCGTGGTGGCTTTGTCTGGGGGACAAAACCCAATAAAAACCTGGGCTGTTGTTAGTTATTTTTAGTTGTGCTAACTTTTTTTTCCAAGGCTGGGAAGCTGCTTCCCTGGCAGGTCCCTGGGGGCCGCGGGCAGCAGGTCTCGAGCTCGCACAGAAAATGGCTTTGAATGGGGAGGAGATGGGAGTTAAAAGCCGACTTGTGCCCCTGGTAAATCAATCGACCTGATGGGGAATGTTTCCAGCAGGCCACGAGTCCTGCCAAGAGCTTTTAGCTGCTCCCAGGACTGATGGAACCAAGAGCTGGGATGATTTTCAGCAGCTGGTCCCCGGTTGCTGCTGGGGGTGCTGCTGGGTCCCCAGACCGGTCACCGTGCCAGCCTGGGAGGTGGGAAGTTTTCCTGCCAGCTGTGGGATTTAGGGGCTTTCATTCCAACGGGATGTGGGGGTTGAAAAGCCTCTGTGTCTGGGCATTGCTCACCAGAGCTGTGCAGTGACACCTGATGGAGAAGGAGACCTTTGTTTTGGTGCAAACAGGGTGGGTTTGGGGCTGTGTTGGGTCTGCAGGGAAGGAGGGCGGGTTGAACCCATAAAGCAGAATTCCATGGCTTATCATGTGGATTAGGCACTGTCTGCCTGCCTGACAGCCCCTCGCCTGGGAAGCAGGCCCTGGCACATGGGGAGAGGCGGTGGGTGACTCAGAGCTCCAATCAATGGTAATTAATTCAATGATAACAAATGAGAGGGAGAGAGAGAGAGAAGAAAAAACACTGTGGGATTAATGCACCAGGCTTGGCTTTGGGACATCTGGCTTGGGGTTGGCTTGGGAAGTTTTGGGCAGGAGCAGCTTTCTGGGAGGAAAAGGCTGCAGTGGGAATGACATTTTTACTGTGTTCTTCATTTTTACCCTCGAAATCCCCGTGGCTCCACGTCTGGTTTCTCTTGGAGAATCGTTTCCCAGGTCTCCATCTCTGGCTCCATTCTGAGGCTTTTGTTAAACCATTTTTTCCTGGATTACTGATGGAACAGCAGCATTTTTATCCCTCTGGAAAAGGCCATTTTGCTTTGTGGTTAGGCTGTTCTCTCCCTCCTACAAAGTCGGGGTGCCCTGGAAGCTCAGCCTCCCTCCCACTCCCCTATTTCTCCCCAAACAGCTGCTGGAACATGATGTTTAATGTGTTTAATATTTGTGTCTTTGATTGCAGACTCCTGCCAGGACGCCCTCGCTTCCAGTTACGCCCAGGGCGAGGTGGTCACCTTCTCCTGAGCCCCGCTGGATCCAGGGAGGGCCCCGCTGAGGGACGCCTTCCCCCAGGGATGCCCTTCCCAAGGGATGCTCTTCCCAAGGGATGCCCTCCCCGAGGGATGCTCTCCCCAAGGGATGCCTTCTCTTAGGTGGAGGGATGTGTATCCTGAGGGATGCTCTCCCCAAGGTGGAGGGATGTGTATCCTGAGGGATGCTCTCCCCAGGGTGGAGGGATGCTCTCCCTGAGGCCAAGAGATGCTTTCTCCAAGGGATTCTGTTCCCAAGGCCAAGGGATGCTTTCCCTGAGGCCAAGGGATGCTCTTCCCAAGGGAGATGCTCTCCCCAAAGCTGAGGGAAGCTCTTCCCAAGGGAGATGGTCTCCCCAAAGCTGAGGGATGCTCTTCCCAAGGGAGATGCTCTCCCTAAAGCTGAGGGAAGCTCTTCCCAAGGGAGATGGTCTCCCCAAGGCTGAGGGAAGCTCTTCCCAAGGGACATGCTGTCCCCAAGGCCAAGGGATGCTCT